GAAAGGAGTGATAATCTCTGGAACGCTGAGCTGCTGGCACAAGGCTGAGCTGGCGCTGAAGAATTGTGCTTCAGTTTGCTTTTAGGATTAAACTTGAAAAATCTTGGCAATTCATCGGATATTCGCTGCCATCTATGCTGTAGATTAAAAAAGACTTACAAAAATGTAATAGAGAAAAACAAGTAGAAAATAAAACACTTCAAGTTAATGAGCCACTAAAAACATTAGTCTGATTTTAGACTGCTCAGTTTTATTTTTATTAATCTTTCTGTTGTGCCTGGATCCGTTTTCTGGTCCCTGTGGCAACTGGTGTGGAAAAGCTCAAGTCATTACTGTTACATCTCTTAGAGTGACAAACGGAGTGGCAATGTCCAAATTGCTTATTGGGAATGGTTGTTGGCCCACGCTATTTCAAACCAGGCACCAAAGTTATTTTGGAAGACTGACAGCTTGCCCAAGCCAAAGCTATCACAGGCACAATTCTAACAACCTAATGGGCTGGATAATCAAGTTTCAGGCCTGGGAATGATTCCTGGCATTCTTTAATGTACACTTCTATTGATGTAGCCAGGGAAGCTAACACGAAATAAATACTGCAATTGGAAAAAAATAGCCCTCACTATATAATTATTTCAGTAAGTTATTAAGCAAATTATGTTTCATGTCTGTAAAGTGTGGCACAGATTTCAGTCAATACCATTTACGCGTCTCCATTTTCAGAAAGCAGCATATAGGTAAAGAAGGTGGAATTTTCCCTGTGTTATCCAAAATACGTGCTCTCCAAAGAAACAAAAACAGGAGTAGAAATATGTACTTTCCATACCTCAGTTAAAAGCTACACAAAACCATCCTCCAAAGACATAAGGTCAAATTCATCAAAGATATTATTCAGAGTACTCTCCTTCTTCTCCTTATGCAAGTGATGTATTGCAGTGCTCTCACTATCAAGGAAATGTGTTGCTTTTTTTTAATTGGTATATGCAGCCAGCAAAACTAAAACCCTCTATATTTGGGCTGAATCTTGTCTTACTTGGTGTGAAGCCTTTCCTCTTACCTGTCTGTTCATCATTCACAGATTCTAGTACACATGCATTCAAAATATGGAAATAAAAACCACATAAAAGATCAGGGAGAGCTATTTTCATCCGTAGGGTTTTATTCTGAGGAACTCCAATTTGCCTGCAATTAAGAGAATTACTGGCTATCCAGATTTTTTTTCACACAACTAAAAATTTTAAGATCTGCTAATTGGAGCTCCACTGATGTTATGTAGTGGAAAAACACCAGCAGGTTGGCCAAAAGAGGGAGAAGTCTGTAGAGAAACATAGCTGTGTGCCTGAATTTGTTTATTGCTGTCTATAAAAGTGATAGTCATCTTCTCTTTTGTGTCTGCATACTCAGATCTTTTTGTTATATACTGATACCATTTTTACATCATGGATGAGTGTGTCTATGTGTAACAGGCAGATGTAATCAGATTGCTGTCAGTTTAAGTTCAGAAAATGTTGTTTAATGCAGCATTTATTTAAATACAAAAATAAGTAGGGGTATAATAGGATATTATTGCTATGTACTTCAAAGCCACTGTTAATAGCATGTGTGTGTGTGCGTGTGTGTATGCACTTAAATACATAAATAGAATAGAAAAATAGCTCTGTCGCTACCGGTGTTGCTGTAAGCAGCAGAACCAAGGACTGGTGGCTATCCTATTTTCATACACACTCTACAGTGAACACTATTTAGAGACAAAGTATTTTTGAGCAGTTCATCAGGAATAATGTTATAGCCTTGAAATATGTCTCATTTGCCTTTGTTTTGAAAGAGGCCAATAAAATCCAACAGGTGCTAATGCAGTGTGACATCCTGTTGGATAATTTTTAAACACTTGGTGTATATGGTGTCTTATTCATGTAAATCCCTGAGGAGCACCTCTGTGACTTGGAAATCAAATTGAATCCTGTAACAGTTCAGCAGTTCAGCACCCTGAATTTGCCCATATTTAAAAACTGCATACTTTAGCTATTGAGTTCTGCAAATGCCTGTGTAAAAAAATGTTATCTAACTTTGTTATTTTTACACACCCTACCATCACTCATTTGTTTTGATTTGGAATGACCAGATTGACTGCATATACAGATGTATTTAGAAGAAAAGGCTGGACATAGAAAGCTGCCTATAGCAGAGCACAGGGCCTGCTTTTCAAAATTGGGTGAATGAAAATGTACACACTTGCTATGACTGTGCATGTAGATATATCAACTGTATTCACAGTGGTTCCTTCCATAACACAGCTCTGACGTTTTTGGTGCATGGCAATATGAAGCAATAATAGCTGGCATGGCTTAATCAATCATCTCTCTTTTAGGGACAGTGCTTCTAGCACTTCACGAGCACCCATGGATAAAAACTGCTTTCTCCATCAAAGACCACATAAATAAAAGGACCTTTAAAAAAAAAAAAAATTAAATAAGAGGAAGGAGGTGTAAAGAGTAGTAAATCTATGTGAGCCAAGAGATTAGGCTAGGGAGATGGTCTTCCAACAGTTGATGGATGCTGATTAGACAGCTTTCTCACTGTTTTTGTTAAGATATAGAGATATCACAGAACATTTGAGTTGGAAGGGACCTTTAAATGTCATCTAGTCCAACTTGAGATATGGTTTAGTAGCTTGTGGTACTAACAGGAATGGGAGGGTGGTTGGACTAGATCTTGCAGGTCGTTTCCAACCTTGCGATTTTGTGATTCTGTAACTCCCCTGCACCAACAGCTAAATGAAATTGCTCAGAGCCCCAGACTTCTAATGTCTCCAAGGGCAAGAAATACAGTGTATCTCTTCCAGTTCCCTGTTCCAGTGCCTCACCACTCTTATTGTGATAAAAAATTTTTTTCTGACATCCAATCTACATTTCCCTTCTTTTAGTTTGAAATTATTTCCCCTCGTCCTATCACAGCAGACCCCACGAAAGTGTCCATCCCCTTTTTTCTTGTAGCCTCCACTTAGATACTGGCCATAAAAGTGAAATTCCTTTTGACAATATACCAAATGTACCAGTTGTTGACCCTCTAGATCCATCCAGCTCTCAAGTAATTTTTTCTTATCAGCAGGGCTGAGGAGAATGCCATCTGGTTCCCCATGCCTTTGACCATGTCTCACTTCCAGGATCTTCCAGGATCTTCTTCCAGGATAAAACTGAAGCTTGTTATTGTTGTGGATATGATGGACATCTTTTTTCATGGATTTGCTTTTCATGCTAGAAAAAGCTATCTGAACTGCTCACTCTTCTCCCATATCACCTCTATTTCATCCCCAAACAACAGATTAATCAGTGCTGGAGGATGACACTCTGTGAAGAGAAAAGTACAGTGTGGCCTTTGGCTGATCCTGTGCTTGCTGTGCGTGTTGAGAAATTGCAATCCTGTTAGCTCTCCCAGTCAGATCTGTCCCTGGAAGTCATGGCTAAGGGTTGATGCTTTTCCAGGCCTGTGGAAGAATGTTGTCCTAGCTCAAGACACATTGTGCTGTTTGTGTGGTATTTACATTTCCTCTTGAGAAAATAATAGTTACTAATGCATTTTTTCTTACACTTGTGTGATATAAATATTTTTGGATGCAGGAAATTAATCTTTCCCTAACCCTTAGGAAATGGTATCCAAACTTTCTTAGGTTTGCTAGAGTAATCAGAGAAGCCAACATGTTGTTGGATGAACTTTATTCATTGACCTCTCTGCATTCCTGCCTAGCTCTGCATTTTTACTGATATGTATTTTGGGTCAGCAGATTTATACAGTTCACACTTCATTATCTAACAAATACAGAACACTGAGAAGTGATCATAAAGAGCATAGCTCTTTCTGCAATTCCTAGGTTAGTCGTGAATGAGTCAAAAAGCTTTAAAGCCCAGGCTGATGCAGTGAAAGTTAACAGACACTAATTTCTGCTAAAAACCAAAATGATCTTTTGCTTGAAAGTTAGCATGGAAAGAGGAAACAGCAGATAGTGAGATGCCATCTTCTCTCTTGGAAGTGATGTGACTGACAGTGATGATGGCATTTGAGTGCTTTGAAGGTCCAGATCATGACTTGGGACTAGATAAGTGTCAAAAAGTTGAAAAATTATTTTATGATAACACAAGTCATTCTCACACTTTGGTTTGAGATATATACCACATCACACAGAACTTTTCAGCTGCGAAATGCTCCCTAGGCAAATATGTACTTGTCCTGAAACTGGCTGAGGCATGCACCCTCTAGCCTTCATGTGGCCTTTTGCCAAGTTCAGAAACACGCATCTTTCATCTAGCCAAGGATATTTCATTGTGCACCTCCTTTGTATCAGCTTGTGGGAACTGTCACAGGCAAAACAGCAGCAAATATACCTTTTACAATAAGCATAAATGGAAAAGAAGACAAAAACAAATTTATTGTGAAGTACTTCCCCTGAATGCTTTCATTTCTTCATTATTCTTTTTTTGTTTGTTTGTTTGTTTGTTTGTTTTGTTTGGTGGTTTTGAAGTGAATGAAGTAAATGGAATGCTTAAAGTGTCAGGTATTCTACCTTATTTCACTATGGGCATTGCTGAAATCCCTTAAAAGAAAGTCATGTATCATGAAGACATATGGTAAAGTAATTCTTTGTGCTGGGTAAGAAACAGTACCAGGCAAAGAAGTGACTGGACCATTCTCACATAGTAGTGCTGTTTGACACTGGGGAAGGAAGTATTTTAATCCCAGGCGATGTCCTCTCAAGATAATTGACAGGGACGGTGAAAATTAAATGATACTCAGATAGCTTAATGGCAAACTGAGGAAGAAAAATGTAACACTGAGGAGATCTTTTACAGAAAGAAGCCAATACCAGAGTATGTGAGCTGCTTACCCAACTGTCTGCTTTGGTTCCAGCTTCATGGAGCTGTAAACATCCGGCATGGGGATATGAGACACAGTGCTTTCAAACTTCCTCCAGACTGAGTGCTTTTCTGGATATTTTTTTCTCTTTACAGGAACCTAGACCTTTGTATAACAGAAGATGCCAGTTTTATTCAAGTGGAGTAGGATTCCTATATGATGCCTACCAAACAGAGGTAAAAAATTTGCTTCCTCATATGTTCATTCCTCTTGTGTTTCAAGGGGCTGAGGAGGAGGAAGTCAGTCATTTTAGAGTATCTCTGTGCATGTAGGTTGATGGTAACCCAACTGTTTTTCCCTCCCATAAGTGGTCCCCCATCTGCCTGAGCTCTGATGTTTGCAAATCATTACAATCAGTAAGATTTTGAGTCATCATCAGTGTTTGTATTCAACACACTACTCTGGGATTGGATTGATTATCATATATATTGTATAAGAGATGTCTGAAATGTTTTTATCACACTGACTTTCTCTGAGGAGGTTTTTGTTGACCTGCAATGTCCAGAAGACTTCAAGTATTCTCTGTATTTATCCTGCTCAGGCCAAGAATGTCAGTGGTTTGTGTGCAGTTTTTATTGTCTCAAGGATATTAAAATGATATGAACAGTGCTTATACCCAAAGGGTTAGCCTCTGGAGAAATCCAGATTTAGTTTCCTTTCCTATTATTCATTTTAATATTATGGTAAATTTTTGGGAGTGAAAAGGAAATCAGGCAGAGCAGGATAGAGAACAAACTCACAAGAAGCCATATATTCACTTGTCCTGTGGTTGTGAAAAGGGGTACTGGGAATGCTACTGTTAATAATTCTTGGTAGGTTAGCAAAGTCTATTACTAACCTAAGCAGTTAATATTACTTAAATCTTGTTGCTAGGGCACCCTGCTGTCGTTTCCAGACAATACGTGACAAAAATGTTTCATTGACCTCCTTGCTTCAAGAGCTGCCCTGACAAACTTCCAACATGTCAATGCACATCCAGGCACAGACACATCCCATATAATGCCTCTGATTCCTCTGATAAGTTTGTAGCTCAGGTCATTCTGACCTCAACTCCCTGCAGGTGACCCCAGCCTCAGTCTTCTGTCTGGACAGATTTTCTTAGCTCTGCATATATTGGAAATGTCATAATTGGAATAGCAAATGGAAATATTGGAAAAGTTTGGGCTGCACTGAACTCCTTTCTCTATTCTATCAAAAAGTCCCCCACGGACATATCTTTTTAAAAGTGTGGTTAGTTTGTAATAACATTCTTGTCTGGTTGTCTACTGAGCTGGAGTCAGCATGTGCTAATTCAGTTACTAATCTGTGGCATTTGAACTTGGCTTTTGCTTTCCTGAAGTTAGCCAGCAGGAGAATGCTCTACATTCCAGGCAAACACCAAACCAGGAAGACAGATTGTTTTCTGAGAGTGAGTTTCCTTTTGATTGCCATCTCTAGCTTCTGAGTGGTCTCCAGCTCATGGAGTTGGGTGGTAATATTTCTTTTATTTGCTGAAGGCAAAAATGATTAGATTTTCTTGCAATCTCCATGAGGTGGGAATTTCTCTTGAATTGTGCTGAAGGATAGACAGGCAAAAACAGCCAGAATATGAAAAAGTTAAATGTCTGGTCACTGAAATGGAAAAATAGGCCTTGACATGCAAGATACCCACAAGTGGCCTGTTTTCCACCATTGCTCACACCACACAGAAATTTGTTTATTTTGGTTTATCCACTGATCTCCTAAAAAGGATTGTCTTGCTCTATGCATGTTTTAAAAATGCAGTGACAAAAATAGACAACTAAAATAACTCCCTTGGACAAAAATTTAATACATTTTGAAACCTCGAAGTAGCGAAATCGTTCTGTGATTCTGTGTCCAAGATCTTGCCAATCTCCTTCTTTCATCCTTCTAGCCTTCCACAGTTAGAAGGGGCAAACTGGAGAGGGGAACTCTCTTTTTTTCTATCAGAAAAAAATTACTACTTTTTTTTTCTATCAGAAATGATCTCCAAAGCCATGTATCAGAAAAAAAAAAGAGCCACATTTTAGCAGCCCTCTCCATGTTACAATATACTCTGGTCCCAACCACACGTGTGATGGAACAAGAGTATTTTAGCTATGTGAGTCCTAGGCCGTTTTGTCTGTGGACAGAGGCTCAAAGCCAAAGTCTTGTGTTCCTTCAGTGCAAAAGTATTAGAACCTTCGAACAAAATGGCCTGGGTAGCAGATACATTGGTAGGGTCTACTCCAGGATCAGTTTTCAAAATGCTTCAAGAAATAGCCATGTGATATTTCACTTACTTCTGAGGTGGATCTCAATTAATCTGAGATAGTCATTGACATATGATTGCAATTCAAATTGGAACCATCCTTTCATAATCTAACTTCCATTTTGGATTAGAACAGCTGGTTTGTACTGGAGGCTAACCATGCATTTAGCCTTGTCCTGGGCAGCGAAGCAATCCCAAGTCATCGTTTTGTCTTCCTTTTAGTTTTATCCCCCTTCTAACTTCACTGTTGAAATAAATGGTGCTAAGAACAAGTTGGCAAGTCTGAGATCAGCAGCAAGGTGAACTTTCTCTGGTGCTGATAGTTGCATAAGATCTTCCTTTCTGTCAGGAGCAAACACATGAGGACTACAGGCTCATTGACAATGGCAGTTTTCACACTAAGAAAGATGCGTAGATCCAAACCTCAGGAGCTGAGAAACATGGGGTAACATTTGTGAAGACTGTCTCATAAAAGAACATATTCATGGCTAAGCAGGAATGAGAGGAACTGTCTGACAGAAGCTTCTCAAAAGCTACCTAAGCAAGGTATTTCTGCTCTATCATTATGAGGAATTTTCCATTCAGTAATGCATTTTATATGCATTTTGCAAACAAAATACTTCTCAGCTGTTACAGCTTTTTTTTTTTTTCTGTCAAAAACCATAGAAAAAATGTATTTTCTGTCCTGCTGGCTTTTAAAACATAACAGTTCTCTAGGATTTCAAACGCAAACTAAAAATCTCAGGAAAAAGATGTAAAATATTTCAGTTGGACTGTGGAGCCAAATAGAAGATACATACTTACCATATTTAAGGATTCATTAAAAGGATTTCTTGTTTAGTTAGATTCTTGTTTAGTTAGATTGAGATTGGCTTATGTGTATCTACCTTTATTGTACTAACCCAGTCAATGCAGTTCCTGCTCACAGAAATAAATCTTTTCGTCTTTATATTCAGGAGCCTGCAAAATAAATCTTTTTGGCTTTATATTCAGGAGTCTGCTGTGAATGTTAGTTATTTGCTGGAGTGCTTGGATCTTCTGTGAGTGATTTTGTTTGTGGGTTTGGAGATCGTTGCTGTTGTTCTTAATTATTTCCTTTCCTTGGGAGGATGTTACTGACAGGCAAGAGCTCCCATTTTCTAAAAACTGGCCTTTTTGTCCATTTCCCCACTAGAAAGGATTTTATATGCGGTGGCTTACCATAGTGTGTCTCCCAGGACACATTGTCACTGTGTCACTGCTGTAGGGATCGCTGTGAACTCGGGTTTTAGCAAAGTAGTGTGGAGCACTGTAACAGTGACTGAAAACTTTGCTGTGCCCTGGAACACCATCCTGCTTAACAGTAAGTGCACTGCAGTACCTGAATCTTGGGGGTCAGTATGGTGACTTGTACGTTGCACTGAAACACTGAGATTAAAAGTTGGTCTCTTCTTTTTTGGCAGGTGACATGTTACACCTTAAACACCAAGTGCCAGCTGAAAGTAAAGAGTAACACGTGCTATTGCTGTGACCTGTACAACTGTGAGAAGTAAGTACCTGTGTGCAGTCAATGGCCTCTGAGAAATCCCTCGTTGTTTGTCCTTCTTCATCAGTGATGGGGACATTTCCCATTAGGTCTGGAGAAGCAAAGCAGAGGGCTTGCATGCTGAGTAAGTCAGTTTCTTGGTCACTGGTATCCAGATGTCATGGACAGGACTCATCTGTTGTTATCTGTTGTGTTATCTGTTGTTGTAGTCATTTTTCTCAAGTATATCAATAAGCTCTTTGCTGCGTGATCAAATCCAACCACTCTGTCATAGCTCTGTCAAGATTTACTGGTGATTTTGCAATGCAGTTTTCTCACTAGATTTAATTAATCGTTTCTTCTACCAAAATGGGGAAAACAAAATGAATAGAAACACAGGTGGCCATACATAGAGATCACACTGCAGGCAAATGCAGAGCTTTTTTGTTAGTAATAGATTCTGTATGCATGGGATTTTACTGAGTTGCCATAGGATAGATACAGAGGGTCTTGTGAGTGTTTCCTGAAGCTGTCCATATGACTTCATCATTACTGAAGCATGAGAAGCCAGGAGAGAAGAAGGGAGGAAACGTCTGGATATCCTTACAAAGATCAGCAGAAGGCTATCACAGAGTTGCCATGCAGTCATTTACCAGGATTACAGCGGTGGTTAGGAAAACTACATCACAGCCAAGTCCAGGGGTTTATAATGAGGAACAGAAATGGAATGAACTGACACAACTGGCTGGCCACCTGCAATGTAGATTCCAATGGCAAGCAGCATCATGACTTGCCACATACAAGAAGCCAAAGAGAATTTCCTGGAATGCATCTTCTGCTGCATTCATTCTCCACACAGCTCAGGATCATCTTATCATGCACTTACCATGCCTCTGTAACCATCTACAGTTCACATAGACTTCCTCTTCTTTCTTTTCCTCTGTGTATTTCACATCTTTCTTTCTTCCCATGTCTCCTGTTCTGTCGTGTACTTTTTTTCTTCTTTTCACATATAACCAGCCCTGAGTAGACTCAGTCCTCTGTCAGCTTTGACCAGCATGCTATCAGACGTAGAATTTCAGTGTATGACAATGAGTCTGGCAATATGAGGTAATTCACAAGATTTATGCATGACAGAGTTGCTTTTGCCCAGCACTAGGGCAGGTACTGAGAACAATAACAGGACATTGTTTTCAGGTTTTGCAGTAAAACATTTCCCAATTTCAGCAAGGCGATGAGGATTGACTCCACAATATGCCTGGTCTACAATAACCATTGCAGTGTACAAATAAAAACAAGCAAACTTCTGGGTAGTATAGTATATAGTTTGAAGGCATATCTTTATACTGTACTTCATAGCATCTATTAGTTTGGAACTGCAGACACCATAAACAAATGTGGTCAGCTGCAAAGTCTCCTTTCCTGTGGTTGAATTAATGCTGGAGAAACTTGACAGAGATGCCAGCAGATTTCCAGGTGAACTGGTAAAAAGAGCTGTGCTGAGCTAGTATCTAAATGGCAAGGGCAGCACCCGTAACCAGGTTACCTTTCTGTTGAGGCCCTCAGCAAAGAATTAGGATACCTTACTTGTGCCAACACTGATCAGCTTAACTGGAGTTGGTATTTGTAGAACTAAATGTTCCCTCCATCCCTGGAGGTGTTCAAGGCCAGATTGAATGGGACCCTGGGCAGCCTGGTCTAGTATTAAATGGGGAGGTTGGTGGCCCTGCGTGTGGCAGGGGGGTTGGAGATTCGTGGTCCTTGAATTCCCTTCCAACCTGGGCCATTCTGTGATTCTGTGAAATGTCTAATGATTATTTTAGCCAAGCAGAGCTTTCTTCAGTTCATCCAAGCACTGTTAACATTCATAGGTGGGAGTGTGGATTAAGTACTTTGCCAGAGAGAAAAGTAAGCAGGAGAGATTTAGATCCTCTGGTTCTCTTTGTTTTGTGCAAAACACAGCAGTGACGCTGTCTGCATTCCCTTTCAGCTCAGAGCAGTCCTCCAGCTACTATGAATTTCTTGGTGTGAGCAGCTGTCAGGATGTGGTTCACCTGTATAGGCTGCTGTGGTCCTCCACAGTCCTGAACATCATCGGGTTGTTTCTGGGGATCATCACAGCAGCCATTCTTGGAGCATTTAAAGACATGGTAAGGCTTACAGTTTTTTGCCTTCTGTAATGACTTCTGTGCTTGTTGATGTTATCAAGTGAGTTAGAAACCAAGCGTTAAGTACACAAAAGAGGCACTTTAAACTTGTTTCATGTGTGGTCTGGGAATCTGGATCCACATATTTAGGCTAAGCAGTTGCCAGCTGCTCACAGCTAAGTAGGTCAGGTCTGGTCAGTACATGAGTGGAAGGGGAAAAACAGGCATCTGCATGAACAGATGCTGGTGCTTCATTTCTGACATCTTTTTTTTCCTTCTAATTCAGCACTGAACATGTGAGCAAGAGCAGAGTTAAAGGTTGCAAGTTTGTAGATAACATAAAAGTAAAGTCCTTAGTGTGATAATTTATGTACTTGTTTTCCAAGAATAGGGATTAACACTGAAGGACCTGTCAAGTTTTTACTCAAATAATTATTTTCAGGTCACATTAATCTCCTCTGTTGTTTCACTGAAGACTGCCTCTCTTTAACTGCTCCCTGTATCACACTGATACATGCCACTGCTTTCAGAAGAGGCTGTGTGTGAGAAGAAATGGACCAGTGAAGTGACTCCCAATGGAATGGGCACTCAGAAGCATAAGTGATCCCCCACCCAAAGGGCTTCTGAACTGAGCAGGTGAAGGTGTGGGGATAGGACTGAAGTTCAAGAGCAGAAGCGCTGTGTGAGAACAGCAAATGTCTGCTGGTGACAGCAGCAAATTTCTTGTGACTATTCACATGGAAGAGAAGTAAGAAGAAAGATGAAAGGAAAGAAGAGAGAGATGAAGCAGGGAGTAGTATCCCCTTTGTGGCCTTCCTGCATTTCTAGAGCATCACCTGCCAGAAGTGACAGATGGTTAAGTGCTCTAGGCATCCTCTCTTTATAAAAATATCTTTCACTAGCAGCAGCAAGTCATTGCTCCTTGATGGAGATAGTGAGGCAGCCCTGGAAAATGGGTGGCTACACAGGGTAGGAGGAATCTCAGAGGACGTTTTCCTGTGTTGCTCTGCAGCCATGTTACCTGGAGTATGAGCTACCAAAAGTTCAGAACTGATGGCAGCTGAATCTTCCTGTTCTGGATGTTGTGATGGCAGCCCTTTCATCCCTGAGCCCTACTATCTGTCCTTCTGCTTCTGTAGAACAAGTCCCTCCCTTCTGTGATACCCTGGTGCAGGAGCAGATTGAGAAGAAAGGAACAGGATGGGGCAGAATTATAGAATCATTAAGGTTGAAAACGAACTTTAAGACCAACCATCAATCAGCCTATCACCACCATGCCCACTAAACCATGTCACTTGGTGCCACATCCACATGGTTCTTGAACACCTTCAAGGACAGTGACTCCACACTGTCCCTGGGCAGCCTGTGCCACTGTGTCACCAAAGAGTTGCCTACTGTCTGCTGCCTTGCAACCAGCTGGCAGCAGAAGCTTACAAGGGCCTTAAAACCATGCAATAGGGCCATATAGGTTATGTGAAATTCACCTTTGCTAAAAGTTTGCAAATGTTTGCACCTTTCTCTAACTCAAGGCAAGCAATCATACTGAATTTCTGCATGTTATCAATGTGCAACTGACCATCCTTTGTGTGAAGGGACCTTCGCAAGGATCTAGTAGCAAACTGCAGCTAGCTAGATGTGAACAGCTACAGCTGCTTGAGAGAAGCTTTCTCAGTGCTTCTTGCTTAGGAATCTGAACCAGGGCTATCAGTGTTTCCCTGAGATGTGGAAAGGTGTGGAGAGCCACACTGCACCCATTAAATCTGCCTTGCATCAGCCCAGGCTTAAATGGGATTTGGGCTGAAGCTTTGTAGCAGGAGTGAGCTCCAGCCCAGGCAGATCTCAGTGCTGCAAGGGGGTATCACTGTGCAGCTCCTAAGGGACAGCAAGCTGGAGAGGGTCTAATGAAGGGGGCTCCAAGTAGAAACTTGATCTGAATAAGCTGTTTAATATCTCCTCTACAGCAAGAGCTGAAAAAACACCTCACTAGCTTAAGGAGAATTTATGTTGATCAGCCCAGCAGAGGATGCATACTATGTTCGTGAAAGAGTTACTAAATGATCCATCCAAAATGAAATAACTATTCCTTGCTCCAGATTGTGCTGTTTCAGAGTTCTTTTGAGGTACAGACCACATCAGCTTTGCTCATGTGCTGTTTGCTTTAATTATGAAAGAGGTAACTTGTAGGAGGCCAAGAAAACATCAAACTTAAGAGGGAGAAAAGGGAGCATGGGACTGAAATAAGAAAAGGCTTCAAAACATGTGAGAGGACAATTGTCTTTCTTTCAGGATGTCACTTGCAGCTCAGTGCAATGCCTAAGGGCAGAGCTCTGAGGTTGGCTTCCAGGCAACACAAGGCTGGCCAACTACTCCAACAAAACATCGTGTTTATCTTTGCGGAATGCTGGCAGCCAAAACATTCTGGAAGGAGAGAGTTTGCAAAACAGGGTAGTTGCATCTACACCCATCACATTTTTGATAGCAAATAAATATTCTTACGGTTTTCTTTCCTGTGACACATTCTCTGCAGACCCTGGCATGCTCCCTGTGGCTTTGCTGTGTGCCAGAGAGCTGTGTTGACCCAGCGGGAATCACTTTATCCTCTCCTGAGCTCTGGTGTATCAGCTCTCTGTAGCCCCTGTGTCACTCTGGGGCTGTCTCCTGTGATTTGCTGGAGTATCCACAGCAGTTGTGTCAATACTTTTCCTTTCAGGTCTACCTTGTGCATGGATATGAGACTCAGGCTAGGTGGTTACCTTAAAGTCTTCTTTAACAACAGCAGACGAAGACATAATGTAAATAGAAGTATCCAAAATGATAAAATATCTTGATCATTTCTTATGTTTGACAAAAGCGCATGAAAAACTTTACCTGCTATTATAAAGAGTTAACTAAAATATCTCCCTTCCCTGCCCTGGTATTCATCTGATGACTTGGAAATGTTTTCTTGACACACCTTCCCAAGGAATCTGCCTGCCTTGAGTTTAGGGTTGCATACATCTGAATGACCTCTGGTCCTGGAGGAGTCTCTTGCTTTTTTTTTTTTTTTTAAATTATTCTCCTTGGAGTCTTTAAGGGAATCTGAGCAGATGAAATAATATCATTCCTGTCACACTTCTCCTTTTCTTCTTTGACCCTGCACACAGCAGGGTGCTTGAAAGTAGATGACTATTGTGGTCCTTTTCAACCCAAGCCATTCTATGATTCTATGATTCTTCCCTTACCCTCATGTCTTGCAAGAGAAGGTGCACTTTGATGTTAAAATGAATTGTTTCAGTTTAAAACGTCTCTGCCTACCCTTGTATTGTGGTTTAACCAGCAGGTGGCTCAGCATCACACAGTCGTTCTTTCACTCCCCCCTTCTCAGTGGGATTGGGGGAGGGGAGAATGGGAAAGAAAAACAAAGTAGAGCTCTTGAGTTGAGATAAAAGCTATTTACTAAGATCGAGAAGAAGAGGAGGAGGAAAAAAAGATAATAGCCATGACAGTTATACATATGTGTATATATAACAAGTGATGTACAAGCAATTGCTCAACACCCCCCAGTTGATGCCCAGCTCGACCCCCAGCAAGTGGAAGTGAGCGAGATGCTCCCAGTGCCTTCAAAACTCTCCTTCCCCATGACACCATATGGTATGGAATATCACTTTGGCCAGTTTAAGTCAGCTGTTCTGATTCTCTCCCCTCCTGGCTCATCTCTTGCCCTCAGCCCTTTGCTAGTAGGAACTGAGAAATGGAATGGCCTTGGCTTTCCACAACAGCTCACCAACATCTTGACATGATGGTGTGTTATCAGCATTGCTTTTCTCCTACAAACAAAACACAGCATCATGCCAGACACTGAAGAAAAGCAATTCCATCTCAGTTGAAACAAAAACACCTTGCATGTCACGTGACTAATTTATCATAGCACCACTACTAGAATACTCGATATCAGCACCTAACCAGCCTCAATACCTGCAAGTCATCACTGGCTCCAAGCTGATAGCCTGGATGCTTGATCAGTGGATTTGGGGTTATTGACTTTGCAAACCTATCTCCTAGGACTGTTGTAATCTTCACCCCTAGCAAGTGGAGAATGCTGGTGCTACAGTTGGAGAGAACATAAAAGGACTTAGAGAGGTTCCAAGAAGAAGGAACAACTGTATGCACTCATCAGGGTCTGTAAAAAGGAAATGTTTTGTATCTTGAAGATGAGAGATTTGCCGTCTCTTATAAAATAGGTCTTCTGCTTTCGGGGACAGCCTTTCTCTGTGCCAGCTCCTGAGGTGCTGAATTTCTCCAAAGAGCCTGGACTGCCAGATAATTTCATGCAGTACACGAGTCACCTAGATGATGTTTTCCATCTGCAAAAAGAATGAATGTACCCCTCCTGTCTCAATCACAGCGTTTATGCTATCTCTGAAGGATGCTGTTGTTCATGTCTCTCATAGATAAGTCAAGTCTGAAAGGAAATGCCAAAAAAACTCTTGGCTGCTGCTTTCAGTATTTGTCTTGCAATCACTGTATAAAAGAAAATTCCATGCTCTCATGTAAAGGAATCTGCTAATAAAAACAAAGGAGAGGAGAGAAACCACTGGGTTTGTCTCAATTTGCAAAGCAGAATTCTGTCATCCTCTGCAAATGGTTATGTAGCATAAGGTTTTAGGAAGACAAGTCACAGTCACATTCAGCTTTTCATTTTGCTTATTGTTGTTGTTGGGTTTTGTGTTTTTTTTTTTTTTCTTCCTAATTTCATTGGTTGGTATACAGAGAGCTATTACTTCTTCCTGCAAACATTATTACAAACTGCAGTTAAGGGGCATGCCAATAGAGTGATGAGATATGATAAAGGAGTCAATTGAATTCTGATGCAAATGAGCATCTCTCTTGATTTTGTGCAGCAGGAATGAGATAGGCATACATGGGGTGGTGCTGCAGAGCCAGAAGAGAGCTCCATTTCACAAATGAGTGGGAGCTGTGGAAAGAACGGTTTTTGCAGAACTGTGTAGGAAAGCTGAGAGAGGCATCAGTAGTAGCTACTGGAAAGAATCTGCAGCAAAGTGTGAAGGAGTGGATAAGAGGAAGCAGTCAAAGCTGTATGCTGCACTTTTCAGGGTGTCTCTGGTCTGGAGTCCTGCCAGTGCTTCTGCAACTGCTGCTAGGGAAGCACCTGCTGTCTTTTTTCCAAGGATAGAAAATTGAAATAGCCGTGCAATTCTGGCCAAAAAATTTATTCCGGATACACCCTCCTCTCATTCTGTTTACCATTTTTTAAATTATTATTAATTTTTTTTGTAGTACTGGTTCACGCTGGGAAATCGGGAGTTATTAAAATGTAATGTTATTTGTAGTGTTGGGACCAGTTACTGCTCTGGACCCCTCTGCATGGTGCTGATTAAATTGTTTTTTTCTATGCTCAACAGGTACCTATGTCCCAAATTGCTTTCAGTGCTGCACCACCTCCTCAGATCCTGTACAACCCTACCCAGCAGATCCTGACGTATGCTGGATTTTGTCCTTCTGCAGCAACAATTTCTACATATCCATCCTACCCGTTGCCCCTTCAGGTACAGTACAAAATGGCAACCTTTTTACTCCATCAGAAAACCTTGAGCCATTACACAGTGCCATCTCTGCAGTGGTAATTCTTGGCTTGTGAAGGGCCTGGAGCAAGGCCAGGAGGTTGGATCCCAACTCACAGACGTGCCTCCAAGATCATTTAGCCTAGGTCTAGCTCTCGTATTTGTTCTCAGATCTCACGTTTTCTCTGGTCATCCTGTGGACTCTGCCTGTTGACTTGAAATCCTAGTGTGGGATTAGAACTGCATTGCAACAGTCACAGAGGTGAAAACAGCTCTTATGCTGGGCTAGATAAAGCAGAAGCAGAGGCATCTGCATCAGTTATATATACCTTAGCCTGCATTATTTTTAGTATGGGAAACAGAAAATGAAGACTCATCAGATGGAAAGAAACCAAGAGAGGGGAGCAAATAAAGGTCTGAAAAACTGAGTGATATAGGAAGGGTTTTGGCTGAGTATTAGCCATAATTTCTCATCAGACAGTTTTTAATTGCACCAGTACAGATTTTAGTGGCAAAACAAACCAGAAAGAGGAAGTGTTTTTAGATGCCAAAGAAAATTCAATATCATGGAATGTTGTGAAAGAGTACAAATGAGGGGTTAGGAACGTTGTCCTTCAGCTGCTGTTAAACACTGGTGAGTCCAGCCCAGAGCTGGCCTAGAAAATGCAGTGAATGATACTGAGGATGTTGTTCAATTTTTTTTTGCCCTCATCGCCTGGTGGCAAGAGGCCTCTTGACCCTTCTTTACCAGAGGAGTTTGAACCTTCATAGCCTGCTCCTATTCCAGCTGGCTATCAAATAGCTTCAGTGGAAAATGCACCATTCCTACTGCCAGGGACCCTCTGTGGAGCACAGGCAAAACTAATTCCCTCCACAGAGGGTCTCGGCAGTATGTCCCACGAGCCAGATGCCTCACATCCTCAGAGGGCTGTTGTAGAAGGTAGCCCATGCTGCAATGGCTCCCTGCTTAATGTGAGAATTATTAAAATGTATCTTTTCGGACACATCTCTCTCCCACTACACAACATTTAGGCATCTGTACCTAACCAGAGTTTGGGTTGTGCTCTGGGGGATGACACATGCCCTGCAGGTGCAAGGTGGTTTCTGTATCTCCCTTTTGTCCCTCCCTTGCAGAGTTGACTCCTGGCCATAGCAAAGTGTTGGGCCTGGCACAACAGGTGTCAGTCATGGTCATGGCTGTGCTCAGACAATGCAGCACAGAGTGAACAAAGTGAGATGAACACAGAAGCGAGTTGGTAAATAGCTGAATGCACTGAGACACTAGAAAAACTGTGAGCATTTTTAGATTTTTAAGTTACAATAAGGCTGATGTGTTCATCCAGTGACTAGTTATACTTAGGCTGTGTACCTGTAGACCAGTGGGTACAACGTTCTGTAATTCCTCTCAATAGAAAGTACAGCATATTTAGTATGAGTGGGATGTAGAGCAGCTACCTGCAGCCTCTTGGGCCACATCTGTTCAGGGCCAATGACCACCCACACCGGTGAATTGCTAGCCCCCTCCTGGTATGGGTTTGGTCCAGTTCACCTAACAGTCTCAACATCTTTGAAGGGCTCAGGAGACAGCAAGAGCAATGGACCATTCCAGATTGGAAGTGTGCATACAGACATTCACACTGTTTTGGTAGTAAGAGTTCAGCTGTAGGGATGTGATATGTGCTGTGCCAGTTGGCTTCAAAGCCAAAGAACAGTCCTTGGCACGCTGTAGTTATTAACAAAATGAGGAGGCACTTTTGCAGACTGTTGGTTCAGAGGAAAAAAAGAGTACACCCAGAAATCTTTTTTTGTTTGCTTTTAGCTGAAAAGCTGTGCTGTTCGTCAGAGTTCAGTTAGCATGTAGCCAAGAGTAAAGAGAGAAGGGGACAAACAGACAAAAGCAAGCAATGAAGCTGAAAAAATGCATGTAAGTAGTCCTGAGGATCGATTGCAACTGCTCAGTCCTTTGTCCACTGGCAAACAGAAATATTTATCCCAAATTCTTAATTGCATTCGAAAACTAGCACTTAAATACTTCTCCCCACCACAAGTTTCTACTTTTTCTAAGAAGCGTGTTATTTATCTTCCCTTCCTGACACTCAGAGGTGGACATCACCAGCTGTCTCCAAGTCAGGAGAGGTTAGCAAGAAGTGCAGGGCATCCAAAAGGGAAAGCACTTAATCCTTTTCTTGGAAGAAAGAAAAAAAAAAAAAAAGCAAACAGTCTTGGTGTATGTATAAGCTAATATGTTGTACTTTGGAGACAATTTGTGCTTTGATATAATGCAATATTTATGAGGTATCATAAACTTACTCAAACTTACAAAAAAGTGAATGTGAGAAACAGACTTTATTTGGAACAGCCAAATGCTCATACAACATGCTCATCCTTTGAGAGCTGTGGGCTGAACCCATAGGGCTGGAGGCCTTTACAATCCTTCTTAGTGCCCTGCTGCTGCATTCAGACCTCCAGAAAACCTCCTTAGCTGGTGCTGGTCCTTAAGGCAATTGAAGAGTCTGGGACTACTGTGATTAATGTAACTAAATGCAGGGGCCGTTGGCTGAGATCTAGTGCTGTGTGATAAGACCAGGTAGCCAACCTGGTACTTGCTGCTGCTTTACGAGAGTCCAGGTCTCAACATCCCTATACCATTATCAGTATGGATGTCTGGCATGCTGCATGGCACCCCAAATGGGCTAGACACTGATGTGCAGGCAGCAGAATGAAGCTCTAGATGTCTGCAGTAGAAGACTCCATCTGAGTGGGTCTGTTCACCTAGGTGGTGATGTCATTGAGACCTGAATGGAGACATCAAAATTCAAGGCTGAACCTTGTATCTTATGGCTGTGACACCTTTGCCTAATGATATTACATGTGAGATGGTCTCAGGTTTGCCAGACAGCCATAAAGCTATCTGATGGCCAAAGGTCTACACAGGCCTTGCATTTACTTTTGGAGCCTCAGAGGGTAACCATGAGCATCTCCTGGGTGTAAAATTTTTGCTTCCAAGTAGACCAGGATCCACCTCTGCCTTGGCAGTACTTAGTAACATTACCACGGCTGGGGACTCAGAGGGTGACAGAGCCCCAACTCCCAGGAGCACTCTCAGGGCAGCCTTGCCATGCAAGCCCTGCACAGGTAGAGGTGGTGCTGATGGCCTCAGCATTGAGCACCAGGAGCTGAGCTCACATGGGAAGCCCAACTGGAGGCTGGCAACTCATCCTCAGTCCTCATTCCTCCTCCAGTATCCTTCCTAAGGTTACTGGTGAGGAAGACCCTAAGACGCACCTTTCTTTCTCTGCATTCCCTTTGGCTGCACACCATTACTGCTTTTCATGCTGACTTGCACCTGCTCCAGTTAAGGTAGGGTCACACACATGGTGGCTCAGGGCAATAAAAGAAACAAAATTTGTTCAGCTAAGAGTTCACCTAAGAATTGATCAGGTATGGTTAGTTTAGTGGGGAAAGTGGTAAGTGGACACTTGGACTAGATGATCTTGGAAGTCTTTTCCAGCCTTGGCAGTTTTGTGATTCTATGATATGTTCCTAGTGTTCTGTAGTATCTCACTGAGTAACTGCTTGCTGGAAAGGTGAACAGTCTTAAAAAAAATAATTAAAAATCACTCTTTGGGGTGTTAGTAAATGCTTAGTTTACCTCACAGTCTGTCCACAAGCAGAAACCAGAAAATGCAAATAAAAAGAGACAACAGGAATGCATTTTGACAAAGTTGTAATCAGCAGCTCTTTCCTTTACTGTGGCATGTGATAACAAAATCACTCAGTCCTTACTGGAACAACTCAGACACAACCAGTCTTAGTCAGAGAGCTGCCAGCTGGTCAGGTAAGTGATTAGCTGTGTGGAGGCTGGAGGTGATGACAGTGGTATGGTTGTGGCAGCCGTGCCTGCCAAACAAAGAGCTCATTACAGAAGCACTGCCAGACAGATGTGTGGAAACGGTGGATGCAGTTCAAGGGTGAGAGAAGCAACAGCTACAAAAAAACAAAAACAAAACCAAACCAGAAACCAAACCACACTAAGCTCAACAACTATGTTTGGAGCTGATCTAGCCAGCAGGTCTTTGGGTGTTACCTCCACTGCCTCCTGGATAATGGCGGTACATAAACACCCTTTCTGCTGCAAAATCTCTTTTCTCACTAAGTCACGCTGTGGTACAAATGCAGGACTTTTCCTCTCCATGGGAGTTTGCAGTCCCCTGAGGTCCTACAAAGAAGCTAGATGGGTATTGTGCCATGGGGACTGGTAGCCCTGGGTAGCTCTGAGGTTCCACCAGCAAAGTATCAGCCCTGGTATCACTATCTAGATGGTAAGTACCCAAGACAGCACTGTTTTCTTGCTTGGATTTTTTCATTTCCCTTGAAATAACAGATCCATGATTACTATTTTTTTTATTTTTTTTTTTTTAAATTCCAGGCACTTTAGGCCTGAACCTGAGGGGAACTGAGCACAACTCTTCTGATGAAGCCCATGGACTGCCATGTGCTGGCATGTGAGGGGAGGAGTGAAATCCTGACCCTCTTGCGATAAAAGGCAAAACTTGGCTTAAAGTAGTAGTAGGATTGTATCCAAAACTTTAGTTCCTGGATGCATCCTTAAGTTTTAACAAACTCTGGTTGTTACTCAGCATGGGCTGTTTCCTAAGGTCATTTGTCATGCCTCCTTCCAGCCAAAGCCCCATAATAACTAAGACAGCTGAAAGAGCTACAGGGAGACACATGCCTAACTGTAAATTTGTTTGTAAGAGAAGTCTGCATTTGGCATAGCAATAAGACCTTGCATTTAAGCAAGTATTACAACTCTGAGATAACTTACATGTCAGAGTGATGCCTGAAGACTAGCAGCTGCACATAACTTAATCAGCCAGTTGCGTTCCATGCCTCACCCAGGAAACCTGCAGAAATTATTGTTCTGTTCTGTTGCTTAGCTGTATGCACAATGTCAATTAAAAATGACTTGGGTTACAGATGGAATCTGTCTTCTTTCACTATAAACTGTATTTGCTACCCTTATGCAGGTGTTCGGAGTGCTGTGCTGCAATGCAAGAGAAAATTAACCATGGGCCATACTGGATAATACTTACCTGATAATACTTATCTGACTTAACTGACAAACAACTAAGAGCTGCAAAACGGGGGTCATAATTCTTTATTGAAGAAAATATTTTTCTTTGTCTACATACAGCCTGCCAGCAATTTTCCAGGAACATCATCTACTGACATTTCTTTATCAGAAGATACTCAGCCTCCCTCTCAGTCCAGCTCCAGCTACGGTCTTCCCCCCAATGCTCCGCCCCTCTATGCACCGACTTACTTCTTGCCTGGAGAAAAGCCTCCACCATATGCACCATAGGACCAAGTATTTATTTGAGGTAGTTAGCAGGTATTGTTTTTAAGAAACCTTTGGAAGCCCTGTGCTGTGCAGGCACTAGACTTTCCAAGGAACCCACTACAGAGTGTGTTACAGACACTCTGCTTTTAGGCACATCTCACTAAGCAGAGCAGAAACCTGGAAATGTCAGGGCAGGCTCATTCCCAGTGGGGTGACAGGTCACCACCCAGTCTGCCTGAGGTCAAATGCAGTACTGCTTTCTACTTACCATGAGTTTTTTCCTTCTCCCTATACTGCAGAATGGTTTTCTTCCAGAGGAGAATTGAAGAAAACACTCTGCATACGTACTCTGCTTTCATAAACCAATATAGAAGGGTTTTAGTCTGTGTTGTCTGAATGAGTATTCTGGAGCCCTACGAGTCAATTGCTTTGGGTAGAAAGAGCCTAGGTGTTTGTTTGCTTGTGGTATTTATTTAAGAACCCTCTTTGGTGAAAGTATTGTACCAATAAAAAAAGTGTGTCAATTATTTTCCAATAAAATTGACTGTGTATATTTATGCTGTACCTAAGGCTGTTATATTTATGAAGACAGAAGAAAGAACAGAGGGAAATACACTCTACTGAATAGTTCCCTCAGTTTCACACAGAAAGGTGTATTTTACTGGATTTTTTTTTATCTTGGTAACCTTGATTCGTACCTTGTGTCAATCTAGTCTGCATAGTAAAATGCTGTCAGTGTGCTGAAAATGCCATTTCCAGACAGTTACTTAATCTGCACTTTAGTATTGGAATTAATTCCTTCCTAGTCAAAAGAGGGTCACAACTAAAACCACTCTGTGTTAACTCCAGTTATTTATTTTTAAGCTTATCAACCTCTGCACACCATTCCTGCCTTTCGTGCTGACTTGCACCTGTCCCAATTAGGATAGGGTAATTCTGCAACCACTGAAAGAGAGCTGATGAAAGGTTGGAATTCCCTCATATTTTTTCCTGTTGTACAAAATTAAAAACCCTTTGACAAGGCAAAGGAGCAATACTTGCAACAGTGTCACTAATAGGAAGAAAGTCATTTGTACCCTGTCACAAGAACCACTGAATTGTAGGGCTTGGAAGGGACTTCTGGATATCATCGAGTCCAACTCCACTGCTAAAGCAGGTTCCTACAGCGGGTTGCAAATGAAAGTGCCCATGCCTGTTCTGAATATCTCCAGAGAAGGAGACTCTGTAGCCCTTCTGGGCAGCCTGTTCCAGCGCTCTGTCACCACCACAGGAAAAAGCTTTTCTTTATGTTCAGTTAGAACTTCCCATGTTCCAGTTATTTGCCCGTTGCTCCTTGTCCTGTCGCTGGGCAACAAAGAGTCTGGCCCCATCCTCTTGACTCCCATCCACCAGATATTTATAAGTGTTGATAAGATCCCCTCAGTCTTCTCTTCCCCATACTGAACAGCCCCAGATCTCTCAGCCCTTCCTCATAAAGGTGATTCTACAGGCCCCTAATGATCTCTGTGGCCTTCCACAGTTCTTTCTCCTTTCTCCAGCAGTTTGCTGTCCTTCTTGAACTGAGGAGCCCAAAACTAGACACAGTGCTCCAGATGTGGCCTCACCATGGTGGAGGAGAGGGGGAGGATCACCTCCCTCAACCTGCTGGCCATGTTCTTTGTAATACATCCCAGGATCCCAATGGTCTTCTTGGCCACCACTGCACACTGCTGGCTCATGGCCAACCTGCTGCCCACCAGCACATCCAGGTCCCTCAGCAGAGAGTTCTTTTCCAGCAAGTCAGTCCTCAACCTGGACTGATGCATGCGGTTATTCCTCCCCAGGTGTAGGACTCTACACTTGCTCTTGTTGAACTTCTTTCAGTTCCTTTCCACCCAACTCTACAGCCTGTTCTGGTCTTACTGAATAGCAGCACAGCCTTCTGGTGTCCCCCTCACTGTGCACGCACGATCATCAGTTCAGATCCTTCAGCACATGGGTTTCTTATTTTGTGGCAGAAGTAGCTACTATAGGATGAAAACCCATCAGATGTCTGCATCCCACCACCGCATTTTGCTTCTGAAAGACAGATGATGCCACTGCTTACTCTGTAGATCTTACTGTCTAGACAGCAGTGAAGCTACAGAAATTTCCTGAATGCCAAAGAGCAAAGTGGGGAAAGGAAGGTATTTCTCACTTGATTTTAAAGCAGCTGCTTCATATGATGGAAATATAAAGAAATGCTATATAAACAAAACCAGCCTGCTTGACAGTTTCCTATGAAAGGAAGTGACACCATCAGACCTGCTGAAAATAGAGCAAAGTATGATCATCCTTTTACATAATATTTTCCACCTTTCATGAACCTCTGTTAATTCATGTGCTCTATCTCTGTTCTTTTTTATAAAAACCAGTATTAATATGCATAAAATCAGAGGTTAAATTATATGGGTCATAAAAACCATGTTTTGTTCCTTTACATTTTTTTTTCTGATATGCAAAGTTTTAGACAAGCAATGCTGAGGTCAATTACAAGGTGCCTTGCACACATTGTTGATAAGGTCAGTGATCTGAATCCAATTAAGAGAAACAGAAGTCAGTGAGGAGACCACTATTTTTCTTCTGAGTAAAAATTCAACCCATCCAAAATGCCCCTTTTTTTGTGCAAATGCATGCTGGGAAGAACACAACCATCCTGATCATGCACTGAGTGGAACACGAGTGGACCTCCACATGTACTTTCTTCCCTGGAGAACCACCTGCACTCACTTTTGGGCATCTTTGAACTTTTGGACTCAAAACCCAGAACAGACCTTTTCCTTCTGAGTTGAGCAGCTGGACTGCTAACAGTATTTAGAACAGTATTTCTCTTGGGTTGAAGAACAGTGATTGAAGAAGAATTAATGGATGTTTCTTATTATATTTTTTCCTCTTTTCAACAGTGTATAGAAGCAGCTGCCTTTTCCTCCAGTATTAGAGTATTAAAGCAATCAAGCTTGAAACAGAAGTTCCCCTTCCCCACTCCCTTTCTGTAATTCTCCAGACTGTGCCTTTCTCTTCTAAAGCACATTTTGGGTTGGGGGGTTGTGATCTCTGCAAAGTATCTTCACATACACATACAGATATGCACAGTCCTGAAGACATTTTTAACTCTGAATGAGACTGCTTTTAGAAGATGGAATTATAGTTTCTTTCACATAGTATTAAGCCTGAGACTGCAGACTACCACTACGTAGCACAGGATTCATGTCTCCAGTATCTGGCCTCATAAATAGTACGACTTGCATTAACACAAAGGTCAGGAGTATTTGTGATTCACTTGTGCCACATTATTTTTTTGGGAACTACTACAAAAAAAAAAAAAAAAAAAAAAAAAAAAAGAAAAAAAAAAGGTAGACATAAGACTTGGTTGCTAACACACTTCTTTTCAAAGAACAAAGTAACACGGTTTGTTTCATCTTCTAAGTTTGTCCTGTTTTCATTAGAGCTTCTCCAAGTTAAAAGAGTAGGAGACGTATTTTGATGAATAACCAGGAAAAAGAAACAGAAAACAAACCACAGTACCTTCAGGGTTCCCTGCTCTCACTGGAATCATAGATGTTTATTAGCTTCTCCATCACATCTCTAGCTGATGCAGAATCACTGACTGTAGCAGAAAGCACTCTTGGAAATAACTTGCTTTCTCTTGCTTAGCAACAAAAAGCAAAAGCACAGGACTGCTTCTGTGTTTTACTACCCATGCACAGTCTGCCAGCAAATCTGTCTGTTATTGCTGTCTAGTTAGCAATTATCCTTTCAGACTAGCATCTGGTCATACCTGAGCATAAGCAGGACTTTTGACAGGTCTTTTTCTGAGTGTAAAAGAGTAGGTTAGCTGAAAGTGATAAAGCTCTTGTCTTTCTGCCCTATTCCATCATTGCTGCTTTACTCGACCATGATATGGAGCTGTGATGTCATGCTGCCTAATGCTAAGAGAATTCTTTCCTCTGTTAAATAAGGCAGAACACTAGTAAAAGTTTGGGATAGTCTTCACCCTCCTCCATCCTTTCCTCTGGGGCTGCCGTGTGTCCCCATATACTGGTCACAGATGTTGTCATGTGCAGATTATTAGACTAATCCATGACCTCTCGGTCACCTTAGCCTCCAGTATTTGAATTTCCACCACAGCATCTCTCTCTCAGTCTCAGTTTGTTAATCTAACCTGATGGAAGACAAGGACCAAATAAATCAAGATTTAAGCGTGTCGAGGCAGGGGAGGCAAAGCCTGCCCCAGCTGCACAAGAACAGCTTAAAAATTAAATGCACTTCATGGTGCTACAGCTTCTTCTGAGCAAACCCACAAGCATATCCTCACTGCACTGCAATTTGGCCTGGTGAGCTCTTACAATCACAAGCCTCTGTGCTCCCATTACGCTCACAGTGAATGAGCCAACCTAAAAATCAAGCAGCAAAAAAAATGTCATCACCACATAATATTCCCAGTTCTTGACACCTCATCATTAGCTTCAGTGGTTACTGACAGAAAAGCCATATGGCTTTCAGCTTATGGAACCTTTCCTTCTGTTTCCTGCTGACCCAGTTTTGTTTCCCATTCTCTGCTGACCAGAATTTTTCTAAAGGTCACAACTGAGTCTTCTATCTGCAGTACCAGAGCTGCAGCAATAACAACAGCAGCAACCATTTGCTCTACAGCCCATGGAATACTGACATAAGCACATAATCCCCGATCTACAAACAAACCCAAAATGAAACAGAAACACTCACTAGTTTCATCTTCACATCAGGCATAGCCTGAGATACCACTGCCAAAGAGCAGAGTACAGAATAACTGGAGTACAGGTAAATTAAGAACTTGTATGTAAATATTTTATTCTCTCATATTTTGCAAATCAGAAAGCAGTGTTGGTATTAAAAATAATACAGAATTATTATTTTTCTTCCAGTCCACACTCATATATTACCAGGTTTTCCGAATTTCAGATAAAACTGTCTCTTATAGTCTAAACATAACATTCACTTTAAGCACATTCTGTACTTTTGCCTTACTTAATATTATTCTTCCGAACTATTTACAAATATATTACAACCTTTAGACCTCAAAGCAAAGGAGTATTTCAATAATCAATCTGACATAAGGATCAGTAGCTCCTACATAACTTCAGTGTTTAAAGAGAAACTATACACGCAGTGCGGTAGGTCTGAATAATTTATATCTTAAAAAAAAAAAAAGCATTGAAAGTTTGTGAGTACAAAACTTTCGCATTGCAGTGGTACCTATGGACCTGCCTCAACTGGAGGGCAAGAGTGGGATGTGATGTCGCTGTGCTTGTACAGAGCCTCATCCAAGTCCAGCGCCTTGCTCCTCAGCTTCACTGTCATGCAGCCATGGTAGGATGCTGTGACTGGAGTGGAGGTGACGTTAACATCTGTGCCAAAGGAAAAACAAGCATCTCTGAGGGCATCTTCTACAAAAACACCCATTGTACCTACGCTCAGATGATCGCCTTCTAGAGAACTGTACTCGTACACAGAAGTGGGTGCCTGTCTTATAGTACCCCACGTAGATTTAAACTAAATTTTGAGCC